TGCTACCTAATGCTCTTATCAGATACTAGTCTTGAACTACATTATACCAACTTTTATTTAGAAATCAGTGCCACAAGGACTGGTTATGGAGCTATGCAAGTTTGATCCGTTTACCTGTCTTCCACTGAAAACCAAAGTGAAAAGATATTTAAAATGAAAGCAAAATAAACTGAAATGATTTTGCACTCCCTTGTTATTTTGCTTATTGCAAGCTTGTAAAATCGTCATGAAAATTTAGCAACTAAAACTGTAATCAGCATTTCTTTATCAAAATAACGACTTTTAATGGGGCATGGAATGAGATTATTTACCGCTCCTCCACTACTCACTACCATTTACTCACTGTAACTAACTTGAGAATTTACAAGGATGTCTTGATGCCTCCATCAAGTTACTGATACTTCTCACAGTCTCACCAACAGATGACAGCCTTTTGACTTGGTTGCCTTCATTTTATTCCCAAAATTGTAGGTGCTAATGCATCAAGTTCTGCGTTGCTTCAGACTCAGTGTGATCAAGCAAACAGGAGTGCTTACAGTAGTACTGAAATAAAATATTTGTTTCCAATCTGCCTTAAATAAAATATCTACTTTTACACTGAAGGCCATGCATTTTTCATTTTAAAGTATCGTGCCAATAATTTATGCCTCTTAAATGTTGTATCTGAAGTTTTGGAAAAGCAAATGATTTTCCATTTACTTTTCTCCACCAACAGATGGCAGGTGAAGCTCTAGAAATTTCTCCAATTGATCCAGCATGAAATAACATGTAAAGTTTGCAACTATGCAGCCAGCTGTAAATAAATGCTCTCCAATATCTTCTGAGATGTGATCATGGTTTAGCATTAGCCTGTACACCTCACATTATAAAACTTAGCTAAAGGTTACAAATAGTTCCATTTTATATATAAAACTGTACATTCTTATTTATTTTGTCCTACTCCATTAGGTCAAACTGAAGTTGGAACATATAGCCTTTCTGTTTTGGTTGGGAAGGTATTTGACAGCATGATGTAGCAGCTGCTACGTTCATTCGGGAGCTTGGGACTGAGCTTTCTGTAATCAAACAAGAAAGCTCTGCATTCATACCCGTGTCACAGATCATGCTCACTGTAAGCTGGAACAGAATAGCTGTCAGCTTAAGCTTTGATTTCCAATTCCATAAAAGCTAGAAACATGAGAGAGAGAGAGATGCAGCTTGATGGCAGAAAGAGCCTACAAAAGTGACAAGACTAGTTTTAATAAGCTTCAGTAAGGATGCTCATAATGTGATACTACAATTCTTCACGTATAATGCTGTATTAAACAAAAAAAAAATCCAGTTCATTTTTGAAATACAGAATGCAGCAGGCATTGCATCATGATAACAAGATATAAGCCAGGCACAGCGTTTAAAGTCTCAATGAAGTGTTATAGAAAGACAGAAATTTTGTCCTGCATGTGCTGTAATGATTTTAAGGACAGCATGCAGTGTGTTGTAATCAATTAACTAAAAGATTTACTTGAAAAATGAAAAAAGTATGCACAAAGCTCATACACTGAGGCATGCAGATCACAGAACGATACTTTTCGCTTCTAGGCAGTCTGCATTACTAAGTATACACTATTTCTCCTGCAAAATGATTTTCTGCCTTGCTGTTGCCCTGCTGTTATTGGCAGTCCAAGTATTGATGACTAAGTGACCACTGGAGCTCAGTTGGTTCTCGTGCACATCACAGTAATTCCTCCAGGCTGACAGAGTAGACAAATTTGGCTGCTCTGATCCCTGCATGGTACACTGGCTGAATACCATTAATCCAATCTATTCACTAATCCTTCCATTTTTATAAGTTAATTTGATTTTGTGAGCTCCACTTTAGCTCTGATCCTTAGCACGTTTTAAAGCTTCCACTCTATGGGCAACAGCAGCAAATCATGTATAAAACCCAAGGCCATCAAGAAGCATCAACGATTAGACACTGAACAACAAAGATCATGCACCTGAGTCAGTGACTATTAATCACTCTATGCCAGCAGTGTTACAGAAGAATAGGGAGGATGTCTGAAACTGCTTCAAATTAACAACAGTCCTTTGGTGAACATGGGAAGTTTGACAGCACACATCGTAACCAACAAATAAATAAATAAAGGTTGGTTTTAGGTGTCCAACTTAAGAATCATAGTCCAGACATCAAAGAGAAGTCAGCTGTTTGAATGTCCTTCTGCAGGAAACCCTGACTATGTAGGAACCTGAACTTACAGCTCTGTTACCTCAAGCAAATTAGGCAGCATGAGTGACCCTTCAGGCACTGTACATGTCTCTGAGTAGGAAACAAACATTGGTACAATTAACAGCAACTTTCCAAGGGTGAGTCCACAGTGTGTAAAACCAGCATGCTACCACTGAATTGCCACTAACACAAAGCTGGGCTGAATATAATCTGACCCTCAAAAGACAGCACGTGTTGCCACAACAAAATTATCAAATATCTGAAGTTATGTATTTCCCTTTAGCTTTCTTTTGTTTGGAGACTCACTCCCTTATAAGTAAACTTTTCATTCAAACCTCAGTTGACAGAAATCTATAGTCAGTGAAACTGCAGGGAAAGGTCTGCACACAGTAACTACTCTTTAGAGAACAGGCTGACCTTTAAGACATTAAACAAAACAAGGAGGGCTGATTGATGCTGTGCAGTACATGCTCTTCAAAATATTAAAACCAAGAAAGTCATGGAGGGCTAGTTTATGAACATGAAGGATGAGAAATTTTGTCAGTGGATGGTGGGGTAGGAAAGAGGAAATGGTGAAAGGGTGAAATATCTAGAGAAGAAAAGCTATTTCCTTGGCTGGAAGAGAAAGACTACAATGTGAATTTCTGTTAAATGGAAACAAAACACAAATCCACGTTGTTTAAAGCAGGTCAGTTGCTAAAATCTCCGTGACTCAAAGTTTCAAAACTTTGGGTTACTAAAGTAAGCTACTGTACAATATTTTTAATTAGAATAAGAAATATATTTGGAATCTCCAGAGAATGGTAGTTTAGCCACTACAATTTTTAATAGTGAGAAGTACAACACAACCTGTCTGTTTCAGTCTGCCTGTATCTTGTCAACCTAAATTACAGGCAAAGATGTCAAACCTTGCAGCTTGTTCTCTCTTTCCTTTGCTTTGTTCTAATTTACTCTTCCCCCAGAAACATACAGAGGGAGGTGTTTCGCCCTGGATACCTCTCCTCTGGAATGGGATGGTTTTGTGTTCCAGCACTTCAAGAAGATTCTAGGTAATCATTCCCATTTCAGTAGACAGCTCAAATTGCAGTGGTATGTTCAGCTGAAAAAACAGATACATCTCTCCTACATGACAGATGGGGGAGAGGCAAGCACTGCTGCCCTTGCTAGTGCTGGAACAGTTCTCTCACTGAGGAGTCCTGGGGGGCTAGAAAGACCCTTAAATTTTATTTTCTGCAGTTAAGAGACTTAGCATCTGCATTATGCAAGAGCTGTTCAGCTGTGTCAGGTTGAAGGGCAGAGATAATGAACAAGACTTTGATGGTAGGTGAAGAACATAAAACTTGCTTACTGACCTTGTGAACTTACACAGGAAACATAACGTGCCCTCGAGGTCTATTGTTTATAATAGGCTCAAAATTGCATGAGAGAGACAAGCTTTCCAGATCTCTGTCCCTTTAGGGTAAGCATCCATTCCTAAACCAGTGACAATTTCAGCATCTTCTTAGCTCCCTTGCACCAAATCTATCTTTCTATCCACAGCAGTAGGCCCCTAGGCATAGCACACCCCATGCCCACACCACAGCTCAGTACTGACACAGGACTCGCAGGGAGTATGCCAAGAATAGTAGGTGAATTCCTAATAAATGTGGTCTAGCATTACAATTAACAACGAGGATCTAGAGACGAGGCACCCACATAAATGAAGATCATCCCAAATTGGGCCTCCTGATCTCAGCAGAGAAGGCCACATGCCTCCAAAGCCAAAAAGCCACAGCTGGGTATTCCCATCCCTTCTGCAAGTAAGGAAGAAGGTAGGAAGGATGTATCTTCACTTCATCAGGCTTGCAGGGGTAACCACATCACTCATCCAGCAATAACAGGACACATGCAGTTATTTACACACTGTACCACAATATCTCTGAAGCAAAAGGCATGTCCCCACAACACCTGTGTGATACTGTAAACTAGGACCTATCCATGTAGTGAAAGCAACATCCAGAGCAGTATTTTAATGCGTACAGTTGTGTAAGATGTACTGCTGTGCTTTTCATAGGCTTTACGTGTAGTTTCTAGAAGTTGGCAAAAATGGCTTTTGACAGCAGCGCAGCTATCTGGCATTAGAGCTGTTTGCAAGCAGGACAGTTTGGAGAAAGTTGAGGATCTTATTGTGGTCCTTCAAGTAATCTGCTGGAAATCTGAGGTGAAAGACCTAGAACCATTTTGATTTCAGTGGGACAGCATATCTCCTTTGCTTTTAAGTAAAAATACAGATCACATACTTCTGGAAAAAGAAGTTAATAATCAACATGTTACAGACTATTTTGCCTCAAACTGAAGCACAGCACTATGTTAATGAAATACGGAAGTGCATGTACACGTCTTTGAGTTGGCTGTTGGATAAGCCTGAAAGAAACCTGTGTTGAGAAGAATAAACTTTCCAGAAAACTACCAAAAGCAAATCTATGATCGTAGTAGGAATCTACATTAAAGGGTCAAAAGAGGCTGGTGAAACCAGTGCAGCAAAGTGTAAAGATATTCAGGTAGAAGAGAGAAATGAAAAGTCATCCAGCAATAAAGAACCCCATTCAAAATCTCAGCCTTCTTGATGTGGACTGATTTTCTGAGATGCTGAGCTGAGTTTGACAGGTGCTCAGGACCGCTGAAAATCAAGCAAACTTACTTAATTCCTCTGCATTATCCAATACGCTGCATAGCATCCCATTCATTCCAGCTGCAGACAAATTATTGAAAACTTTCACATTTTTTCTGGCCGCAAACTATAATTATTTACCATAGGTGTGGCCTCTGTGAAATCCATCAGAAGGTCACCTGGCTCCAGAGCAAAAGTACTTCCAGCATCTGTGGAACTCTAAAATGAAGGAGAAACTCAGCTTTGAAAAAGCATTTAGTTTCTGTAATCCTATGGTGGGACTGTTTTGTTTCATTTTGTTTTTAATTCTTTAAAGCATAAATTGCCAAATGGATTTCAAATTGCACACATTTTTTAAAAATATGGCTACTCAGGAGAGACAGACAAATAAAACCATGCAAATTTGAGATCAAGTTAAACAATTTAATCCTGATCTACTAACTTCAAAGTTGTTGAAAACCTATTATTGATTTCAGTCGGGTCTTCAAGGAGGCTCTGAACATTTTCTGGCAGTTGCATTTACAACATAGGTTAAACATGTTGCCACTACTAAGCACTGAAAACTACTCTGAAATGTAGAATTACTTCATCTAAGAAAAATATTACTTGCAACGTCCTCCCAGCCTTCCTAAATATTCTCCAGTTGACATAAGCTCATCTCTTTGCACCTTACCTTGCCACCAGGCGAAAGCTGTGTTTGTCCTTCTGATGTCTGTGGTGTGCACATTTTCTGTGACCCAGGAGATGCTGAAGACACAGATGTTGATGCTGCTGCTGCTGCTAGTGCTGGAGGAAGGTCATCTTCATCACTGCAGTTGAGAAAAACAGACAGATCTTCTCATTAGAAAATATGGCTTGACTTTTAACTGTACCTGTTCTGGAAGAGGCACTGGAAGTTCTCTTACATCTGTAATGCAGTATTTATAGCTAAATTTGCAACTGAATTTATTAAGCTTTAAAGATTCCTTGAAAGTCAGTTGGCTAGTCAACTCTCATCTACAAATGGAAATCTAATAGTTCTGATATGTAAGCAGCGTTTCTATGGAGCATGTTTATATGAATACATGAACTTATTTGATATTACTCTACTTTAATGTTGATATTCTCTTCTACAGAGGCTGGCTTTATTGATAATAACAGATCTGGTTAGATCTATCCACGAGACCAACTGCTTTATTGGCTGAAGTATAAGGGGAATTTGGCACTCATTGCACAGTTAGTCCATAATATTATTTTCAAACTGACTTTAAAAGGATTTTGATCAACTCTAGAAAGGTACTTTGTAGAAAAATTCTTGTAAGGATATGTTTTTTTTCTGTCCCATTTATTCAGTTTACGAAGAAAAGATTTTATTTAAAACCACACTGCACACTTCCCTTGGGCTCAGCAAGCTGATCTCCTTCCATCTCACCTAACATCACCACTAAATGAGAGACAGTAGAGAATATATTACTTTCATTTACTTTTGTAGAGTCCCATTGGCTACAAATCATTGGTACCAGTTGGCCGAGGGTCAGAATTTTTCCAATTGCTAATTGGAATTGCACAGAAATAAGCAGTTACAATCTGGCCTACAGAACCTTTAGTAGTGGGAATGACATGTGAAAAGGAAAGACTACAGTTTGACAGTTTAAAGCATGGGGAAAAATGATTTCTTTTCTGCTCAGAAGATGGCATAAATTTTAACTACCAAATAAGTAGTCTCAGTGCACAGAACCCTGCCATGCCAGTTTGACAGACATTTGCAGAACACAACTGCACTTGGTTTAGTCTTACCTGAAGTCAGCATGACTATGCAAAACAATATTTCAAAACTACATTACATACAGAGTATCTAGCCCTGTGATGGATTGTTTGGCTGACAAAAAAATGTTTTGTTTTTTTTTTATTAGGGTATAATGGTATGGCCATTAATATTATCTTTTTCATAGTTCATTTTTTATTTCTTCTGGGAAAGGCTAGAATTTATCACCAGAGCATATACAATACATTGTTTGCATTCTGGAAAGAGAAGGCAAAATCTGTTGGACCTACTAAGTATGCATTTTCTTAACGATCCAAATTTTGGTTGTTGACCTAGTTAATCTCTCTTTCAGAAACATGTAGCTGACATTTTCTCAGCTTTTGCTCCCTACTCTCAGTAGGAACACACTGGCACCTTCTCCATCCTTGCTGGGTAAAGCTGTTCTGTTGCATATAAGGAAGCGGAAAATTGTCGAGAACTTGCCAGTTAGAACGGCTTCTTCAGATCTGCAACCAAAATTAGGCTTTAGTCTTATCAGTTACCAAGCTATCAGCATGCTAGCTAAAAGTTTGAGCGTGGTCTTCTTCATTGCCTACCCTGACATATCTATTTTCATTATTCTATGTCCAATTACCAACATTTAACCTCTTTTAGCGGTCACTTTCTATTTACAGGTAAATACAGCTTTTCCAGTCCCACCCTACTCTAGAGATTTTTTTTTTTTCTCAGACAGTTAATCACTGATTTCTAACTGTCTTGCTATTCTCAAAACTAGCTTATCCTACTACTTTACTTTATTAGTCCCATGGGAAATCTTCTGTTTTGGCATACATACTGTCACTGAAGTATCCTGTAACTCAAAATTGTCTATGTGGCATAATCTTGCTCTTCTTTTTTTTTGGCATCTAGTAGTACTGGAGAATCAAGTTTAACAATTCCTGTAGGTTAAAGCTCAAATCAAAGAATCTCCAAGTATGCATACAAAACCTGTGACTATGCCTGCAATAGGTCATAGTTTTATAAAACTATAATGACTGCACATTAGCGTGCTCAAAGAGGAGCAACAGCTATCATGCTCTGTTCATTATCTGCCATGTGCACAACATAGCATAATCGATCCTCTCAGTGTCACAGACATTTCTGTTACTATGTAGAAATCTCTGCATTATATAAAAATCCAATAAATCAGAAGCATCTTGAATATGTAGGGTACTTCCTTCTCCTGGCTTTAGAAAAAAGGGGTAGTAGAAATGGTATATCATCCAAGAAAAATCCTACTGGTGCTTGAGGTCTACTGGGCATAGTGAGTAAGCAGGCTTTCAGGCCTTGAGAAACCACTCCTAGGAAACGCTATCAAGTTACCTGTCATGATTACCTTTAGAATTAGCAGACAGGATGGGAATCTGAGTTCTCTTCCCAGCCCGAGTGGTCAATTCCCATCTCAGGTCTCATTTTCAAACCATACTGGCTGATGTATAGTAAAAGAGCCTTAGTCATGGTCTGCTTGCCAAGCTGTGGCTGCATTCCCATATGTTAGCCTTGGTTTCTTGAACAAGGAAAGATTTGGCTAGATGCTTCTTTACCTCCTACCTTCAATTTGATTCATTCTTCTGTTTCTTCTCCTAAATAATTTTTCAGTTTTAGTGACGTAGATCGTTATTTTTGCTCCATATCAAAAGCCAGCATTATTGACAATGAGACAGAAAATAATTACATATTGACATTTACCAGAAACCTTTTGGATGGGAGGAAATCTTGCTGATTGTGCTATCTATTTAGTGGCACTAGAATGTTCAATTACTATACGTACTAACAGTTCCACAGAGAAAACATATATAACTTTTATCTTCATTCTTGTATTAGTAAATTTATGCTGATACTCTTTTTTTTTTTTTCCCTTCATTTTCTACTCTGTTCAATCCTCTAGTTTCTGATGACCTGATCCATCTGATGGTTTTGATGGTTCACGTGAAGGACAATTCAACACACTAATTTCCACGTTTATCTCTAGACTAAAATTAGATGAATTGGGTGTAAATGTGATGCCAAATCTCTGTAGGCACAGATCACTCCTGCCAGGAATAAGAGACCGGACTTAGCTGCCATAGCTGTAGCACGCTCAATAATTTCTGCATGTGACAAAATTACAGAGACAGAGAGAGCGGGAATGGCTGAACACAGCTTGAACACCCAGCAGCTAAGGACTGTTTCCCTCATTTTGCAAATGGGATTGTAATGAAGCAGATAGAGCAGCTTTCTCCAACTCACACCAGGTCTTTGACATTTCATGTGGAAAAGAGATTTTTAATTTCTCATCAATAAGCTCCAAAAAAAGCGAAGGGGCTGCACTTCAGAAGTTAGTAACTGCAGAGAGATGGCAAATTCACTAAGTATTAAAAGCTTTAAGATTCTCAGAGATGAAAGGAACAGTATCAGCCTAAGATTATTATCATGTAATTGCACTCATGCCTTTCAGAAAGCATAGCTAGAGCAATAATTAACAACTCCTTCTTTTACAGCTGTAGCAGGCAAAAACATGAAGATAGTGTTATATGGTACTCACAAGCTGTACTGTCTTGTTAACTTCCTCACACGAGAAACTTTAATTTCCTGCTTTTCTGTAGGGCCAGATGATGGCGTAGTTTCAGGTCGCACTGGAGCTGGACTTCTAAAAATAACAAGAAAAATATATGTGACACAGTCTTTATTTAAACTACTTCAGGCATGTTAACAAAGTTCTAACTCATCAACACATGTTTATCTTGCAAATTGGCAAGTGCTCATTGAAGTTCATCCTTTCGTTCCATTTATAGTCCACAGGCCAGTGTGCATGAACAGAAAAGGACATGTGAATCCACTCTCCTGTGCACTGCATGCCTTTTATAAAAGTAGTGGCCGATTAAAAATACAGAATCTATGTAAAAGCCCATGTGGAAGCGTTGCTGTTTCCAAAAGACAACATTTCAATAATGGCCCAGCTATTCAGTCATGTCAGAAATATTTTTACCCAAAAAGCTTTTAACAAAAATTAATTTTATGGACTGCAAAACCTGTTCTGCTCAAAATTGAAGGATAATGTTTAATTTTAGGTAAAAACTGTATCAAAAAGAACAGATCAAGGGAAATGAACTAATGGATTTGATCCAAAAGAATATACTTATTAGAAATAAATACAAAACTGAAATATGTTTCAGATGCTCATGAATATGAAACATAACTGCAGAGCTCCAGCAAAGATCACAAATGGGAATGAGGAGACCCATGTAAAAGGATCTGCTTCTCAACCGTTTATTCTTAGAGTTGACTAAGACTCGGATACAAGATTTTCATGACCTTGGAAAGAAACATTTTCAGTCATGAACTTAAGTGACACGAAGAGAAATGAATTATTTTAAATACTACTTTTATGTGAAGCAACACATTATGATTAAATATACTGCATGTGTATTAGAAATGCTATAAACATAATAAATATGCCAAATATTGAAGGAGTAAATTCAAAATCTTGATTAACAAATAATGTGTGGGCTATTTTCTGCAATCTAATCTGAAGTCAGATACTATATTAAGTACCTAAGTAGCCTTATTGATTGCCAATGGGACTACTCATGCACTGAGGGACATACCACAACTGGCAGAAGTGATTCAACCTTGTCTCTAAAATTATGTGCTTGGGTTAAATTTTTTGAGTCCACTTGCAAATCTGTCTTCTAAAGTCATAATAAGATAAGCACATAATCTCCAAAATTGCAGTTCCCTCTGATGCTGATGCGGGCTTAAAATATATTAATTATCTGATAACTTCTGAACCTGCTGTACGGCTACAACTGAGCATATTAGGAAGGCATAGCCTTCAGACTATATTTTCAGGTTTCCTGTATGTTTCTTTGTCACTGCATACATACCATAAGATGAAAGAATTCTGCAAGAGTACTAAGGACAAGCAAATGATAGACAAGATGCAACTAATTCCACTTCTTGTGCAAAAACTTTGTTTAAGTGTTTTCCTGCTTTTTGATCCCATTAATTTCAAGAAGCCAGTACAGATTGCGACATAATTCGGATCTCATTAGAAACATAGAATCCTAAGAGTTGGAAGGGGCCTCTGAAGGCCGTCCAGTCTAACCCGCCTGCAACAAACAGGGACACCACAGCTAGATGAGGAGATGTCCTGGACCTGATCCTGCCTCACCTTGAAAGTGTCCAGGGATGGGGCATCAACCACATCTCTGGGCAACTTGTTCCAATGCCTCACCACCCTCACTGTAAAAGATTTTTTTCTTCTATCTAACCTAAATGTACCCTCTTTGAGCTCATTCCCTCCCACTTTCAGGGTCAGATTAATGAAGAACAATCCAGCCTAATTTTCAGGCTCCTTACTGAGTTTCCAAGGCTGGCAGTTAAGAAGAGAAAAGAGCCCAAACCACCTTTTCTTAAAAATCTTTAGGTCAGTACATCTGATCTGCAAATCCATGAATCAACATCACGATGGAAGCCCCTAACAACATTTTCAAGGCTTTCGGAATGGATGATTGCTCTAGTCAGACTGCTCCTTAGACAGTTTGTGCTAAATCAAAAGTAGCTTCTGACAACTGAAAAAAATGTAAGCTAGTGTTATCCAAAGTGATTTTCAGTTCAAATTTTGACATAAGTAGGATAAAAATGTGAAGACCTTTTTAATGACTGGATCTGATGGTCAAATCTTCAAGGGGTGTGAATGTGTATAATTCCATTATTTTCAGCTCACAAGTTCAGAAACATATCAGATAAAATTCGTGCCCTGAGTGCCCAGTTCCTACAATTCTCTGATACCTACCCACGCTGAGAGTTTCAAAAGCTACACCTCTCCCACCAACTGAAGGGAGCAGGAGCAAAAACAATGGTATCAACTACGCTGAAAAAGGTGCTTAAAAATTATAATGAGCAATGCACTCATCCTATCAAGGGACTCAGGAAACAGCACAGCAACAAATCTATTTCTAGTTCATTGCCTCTCCAAATTTCTGAAGATAGCATTATAATCTGTGATGAAAGTAAATCAGATATTTTAATAGAAATGAAAAAATGATCATTTCAGTCAGAAAAGTTCATTTTACAAAGTCTGTATACCTCCTTTGATTCCATGGGATTACAATCTTTAAAAAGAAAAGGAGGTGGGACTTTTGAAACAGTTATCTTAGCTCACAACTTATGCTTTTTTTAAAAAAAAAAACAAAAACAACCACATTGTGCCATTTCGTAGCTCAAGCAGTTTATAATCACTACACAAAAAAAAAAAAAAAAAACAGAAAGGAAACTAATTTAAATATGCAAAAAGTTCGGACATTTTAAGTCTGACTTTCCCTTATAAAAAGGTTCCCATGAAAAATTTCACTCAGCTGTGATTAAAGGTGATGAAGAACCAAGTGACCTATTCTCTAATCCAAAATCTTCTTATCTCCCTTTGAATGCTGTACATGTTTGAGTGAACAATTAAAGAAAAAGCCAAGACGCAGCACCACAGGACACACCTTCTTTACAGGTGATTGCAACTGCTCAGATAAACTTTACTTGTCTTTTGTATCACACCACTGAAGCATCCCACTCACTTATCCTGCAAAAACCATGCAATTTTAAGAGAAAAAACCTCTCTATCATTGTAAAATCTTGACGTCATTTTCTGTTTGAGGCTGGGTGCAGTGACTATCTGCTGATGATATTTATCAGGCCCCTGAGAGAGACCTAAGTATCACTTAATGGCACGTTTCCAGCAGCTGCAGGTTAGCTGGTGCATAAACTGATGTGACCTTGGAACAAAAAGCAGCAGTGGCAATGCCTCTATACGAGGAGGCTGGCTGAACCTATTCTACCATGAGCACAAGATGTAATGTTAGACTGCTTCTACCTACTGCAGAGATTGATTCTCACCCTCATTAAAACCTTGCTAGTGTAGCCCTTCCAACACCAGCCTAAAATATCCCTGACAACTCCTTTTTCATCTCCCCAAGTGCACTTCCTCAATTCTAAACCATTGCTACCCTGACTTCATACACCAGATGCAAGAAGTGCTGAGCTTGATCAGCTTGGAGCCTCATCTATCTCACTGGTATTCCTGAAAAAGAAGCAACTTTAAAGAAGATTGGCTTCTATTGTTACCTTTTGAATTCTACCACCAGAATCTATTACCTTAAATGAAAATGTAGGCTTTTTGAAGAGAAACCTTGCCATAATTTTGCCTCTTTAAAGAGAGTCATTAAGTGCTATATGACCATTTGTAGTGTATGGCCCCATGTGCAGTAAATTCTGCAAGCCTGAACTAAACCTGAAATGTTGGAGTTCAAGATGACATAAACTTCAAAGAAAAAAAAAAAAAAAAAGTGCAGTATATTATAATTCCTTTATAAAGTTCAGTTTCAGTGTCATTAATTCATAAGTATCCTTTTCTCTTGTAACAGTATCTAACCACCCCAGCACAAAAATGAAAGCACTGAACTAAGATGGAGTTACTAACAACTTGGCACCTCACACAGAAACATGTCACCTCCTGGTGAGAATGACACTAACAGGACTGATGTCAGCATGCAGCAGTAGCTACCTCTGCACCGAAAGCCCCAGCACAGCATGCCTTGCTGAGCCAAATAAGTCCTAAAGAAAGACCCCCAAAACAGAGCTGCTGAGAAATTCAAAAAAGCAGATTTCAACAAAGCCACAAAAATCAAAATTGCTAAGACAAGAGGCAGAGGTTAACAGTTCCATGGTTTACAAGGATACAGCCACCTGCATAAAAGTTGACTTGAATTTGCATGCTAGTTTATGGGAAAAATAAAACACTGGTTGATTTTTGCCTTCACAGATTCCTTTGAGTGGTAACATCATTGTGAAATCTTGAGGAGAAAAAAGAAGGAAAAATGAAATGAGGAAAACTATTTGATAGATGCCTTCTCTTATGTATCAGTGACATAGCCTAAAAGGTGAAACTTACACACATAAACAAATCTTTTATTAGTCTGCACTCTAAGGGTTTCACACAGTTGTTTCTTTTCCAAAGCTGTGGCCATCTGAAGCTAAGAAACAATAACATGTGTCCCTTCACTCTGACAGGCCAGCTCTTTCCAGAAGAAATGTTTAGCCCCCAAGAAGATTATCTGGACATTTGAAAGCTATTGCCAGCATCACATTTTCAGAATAAAGTTGTGGGGTTTTTTTTATTCTTATACCTTGACTGGGGTATTTCACCAATTTTGCCTCAGCTGGAATGTCTGAGTGCTACTCCTTTCTCTGCAGTTCTGAGATAAAGAATGTAATTCATCACCATCTGACTTCAGGCAACAAGACACAGAGGTCTTTAACATCAGCAGTGAAGTCAAAATACATACGTAGGTGTCCTTTATGCAGTCATTAATGCAGACTGGCAGGGAAATGGTATGCAAGAGTTCAATTTGAATTATGAAATTGATGCAGAAATCACTGGTTGAGTATCCTTGTTCTGTCTTGTAAAACATCAGAGTAGCTGACCCATTAAAATGTCCACTGGAGTGAGACCAAGGTGATGTGCATTTAGCTATTTTGTTTGGGTTTGGTATAGCTGGTTGAAATTTATCAGTTGAAAATGACTTTTTTCTTTTTTTTTTTTTTTTTTAAGATGGAGGCTTAATGAAAAATCAGCTTTGATTTTTTTTTAAGAAAAAG